TAAATTATACACATGATAGGCTTTATACACTGGATGCGTATTGAATTGTCATCTGGGCCATGCCAATTGTACCCGTTACTCGGTACACTGCCTACATCGTTATGCATAATACTATTATGAAGTTTGCATTCACATTGTTTCAGTTGGGCTTTGCATTGTGTGTCATGTTGCTTATTAATCACTACATACTACATTACATATTATGATACATATGACACTATTACGATTACATTACATATTACATTATATATTATGATACATAGGATATTATTACGATTACATTATTTATTATGATGGTTTACAATAATTCGTCACAACCAGGATTTGGCATGCCTTCGTGATCTAACGGTAGCGCACTCGGCACGTATTCGAGAGGTCCAGGTTCCAGCCCCGGCGTGGGCATTGCTCATTTTTCACGTCTACGTCATTTTTCACATCTATGACCAAAAATCCTAATGATTCTACAATTTGAAAATATTTCGTACTTAAATGCTAAACCTTCCAGTATTTTTGCGGGATTCTGCGTTGTTTTATTCCAGTGTTTCCTTTACGATGGTTTGAATAGTCATTTATCTTATATGATTTGTTTTATCTTTTGGTACGGAACAGAAAACTTCAGTTTCGGTGATCTCGGATTTAACTGAGAATTTAATAAGCAACATATCATGTTGTAAATCAACTGTATTTTCAATTTACTAACAGTGATCTGAAGATTAACTTCTGGACTATAACATGTGGGGTATGAAATACAAATTAACCGCTACACACAGAACACGAACTTAACTGGTTAGCGATATGTCGCCCTTAATAATATTTAAATTGCAAGGCAAAGCTCAGAGGAAACTGAAACCCAAAGAAAAATATAGTTAAATTATTGCTTGGTAAGAACGAAAGTTTTAACAGAAATTAAATCGACGACACGTCACGTTGAAAATATTACAAGATGAAGCTAAATATCCTAGTAATTAAGGTTTCAGTTATTTGCGAACAATGGTTCTAATTTAAAAACTGAACATATAGTATTCTATGCAATCTCTAAATTTATAAAGCACTTACTGGGGCATTGCGACTAACTAACGTGTAGCTTTCCACGAATATAATATGAGCTAATTTGTAATAAAACTCCGTGACATGGCTCAAACATCCTAGGAATTAACTTCTGCTTTTATTCATTTGCGTGCTACTAAATTTGCACACGTTCTGTCCTGAGTGAGTGAGTGAGTGATTATGGCGCAAAATCCAAAGATGATTATAACGCGCCAAACACAAGATGGGATGATTACAATTGATAACATTAAAATTGAATAAATAAAAACAAGTAGATAAATTTACCAAATCCAGAGGATGAAGTCATATAAACAAAAGTTAAAAGCAGACATTAAAATTGAAGACACAGTTTTCAAAACAAATTACATTTGGTAATAAAAGCCAGTCTCTTTTAAATAATAAAATAAATTACAATTGACCTCTCTTCCGATTAAACGGTCGAGAGGTAAGTCACAGCTATTAAAATATTTCTGACGAAGACTGTTAAAACAGGGACACTCAATTAAAATATGACGAACAGACAGACAAACATTACAATATGAACAAACAGGTTCATTCTCAGCTTTTAGAAGGTAGTTATGTGTCACTCTAGTGTGACCAATTCTGAGTCGAGTCAAAAGAACTTCCTCCTTACGATTTCTAGTTAATTCCCAATGCTCAATTCTAGGCTTTACATGTCTTAACTTGTTTTGAAGCTGAAAATCCCAAAGTTGCTGCCATTTTTTTTCGGATCTTCTCTTTGACAATACACACAGATGTCTCCAAAAGAGATGAGGCGACTGGACAGATTCAACAGCACATTTCGCTGTGATATCTGCCAGCTCATTCCCTTTTATTCCCACATGGCCGGGAACCCAGCAGTACAGGATATTCATATCCACGACTGCGTTAAGTTTATATGTAACTTGCAGAACATCCACTATGACTGGATTTTGAAAGTATGGGAAAAAGCTTCTAATGATTTAAGCGCACTACAAGGAGTCTGTATAAACTATATACTCTTTTGTGGCAGAGCCTTGAGATGTACAAAAGACTATAATATATCGCAGGTTAGTTCAGATGTTAAGACAGAGAAAGCATGGTTCAAGCGTCTGCCCTCCATTCGATCTTCAATTACAAATGCCATTCCTGACACGATCTTTTGACTTTGAACCATCTATATAGACTGGAATATAACTGCTATATTTGTGCCTGTGCTCAGCGAAGAGTTGTCTGTAAATGATCTCGTTAGTGCTTGCCTTCGCATGATGCTTAAAAACATTAAGAAGCTGCATCCGTACATTTTCCCAAGGTGGGATTTCATTCTGTCCTGAGACAAACAAGTGCGTAAATTATTTACAACTTACTTCGTGGCATAATTGTATTTTTAGGTATTGTTCTAGTGAAAAGTGGCAAAGGAAAATTGTACTTAATCATTTTTGTAGTATCATACCATTTTAATTCTAATAATCACTTTTGTAGTGTCATATCCTGCTCATTCTAATAATCACTTGTGTAGTGTCATACCATTAGCATTCTAATATAGACAATAAAATAACACAATTATAAATCATCACTGCAGTGTAACTATTTGTTATGTGCTAACTCTAACTATAAGATTCTTACGCGTATCTGTGAAATAAATGTTTCATACCGTTGTGATAACCCGTGCCACTACCATTCTAAGAAAATCTTCGATTAGGTTAATACTAAAAGCAAACCAGACAGACGTCAAGCTGTCTTCCAGCTTGCCTAAAATTTTAGAATCCCAGAACAATATCTTGTTTACAAATTACGATCTGAAAGGCTTTATAATGCTTGCTTACACAAATATAAAGCTTTTATTCAAAAGTTTAAACATTTTTTCAGAATTACAGTACAATTAAGTTATACTTAAGATACAATAACACGCAGAACAAATATTAATACAGAAGTCAAACAAAAAAATTCGGAAACCTTCTTTTACAATCTTCCAGTTCAAGTAGTTCAAAAAACCTTCCCATTGTAAACATTAAGCCAATAGTTAACATTTCTAATGTTAGTTTATCAGAGGAACAAGAGATAATTCTAAAATATAATTTTAACTTCTCACAAACCTCTAAACCCTCAATTCCAAAGATTTTCGCTCCTATCGAAAAGGCTTTCAAGTTCAGTAAAGTTTCAGATTCACAGAAAGAAATAATTAGGTATCTTATCGCTCATAATGTGAAATTCAATAATAAACCTTTGAAACCAAATCTAACCGCGAGAGAAAGAGCTATAATGCTCAAAATTCATTCTAGCCCGGATATTATCATTTCAAAGGCCGAGAAAGGTGGCCAGATAGTCATCATAAATAAGAGCATTTACATCGATGGTGTCACTAAACTCTTAAACGAAGGACCATATAATCCGATCCCTAAAGATCCTTCACCTTCGGATCTGTCAAAAAAAAAAAACTGCAATCAAATCTTCACAAATCTTTTCAAGCAACTAAAAACATTCGCTTATCCCATCTCTTGCGAATTGAGCCACATTATATGCTCTTCCCAAAATTCATAAAAGTGGTATTTCTTTCCGCCCTATTGTATCAAATTTAGGTACTGCCTCGTATCCATTAGCTAAATGTTTAGTTTCTAGTTTTCAAATCTATTAGACAGTAACATTTACACCATAAAAAATTCAATAGAGTCTCTAAAAAAGGTTAAAAACATTTCTCCTAGAAATTTACTCATGGTTTCTTTTCGTGTAAAATCATTATTCACCAACGTTCCAGTGAAGGGTGAATTAAGATGTCTAGAAACCAGACTTCGCGAATTTCATTTCTCTTGCATTGAAATTGATGAGATAATTTCTCTCACTCAACTCTCTCCAAAATAAATATTATAAGCAAACTGAGGGATTAGCCATGGGAAGCACCCTTAAATATAAAACTTCCCGTTATAGTTCCGCTACGTAGACGATACTTTTACCCTCTTTGAAGGTAATAAAGATGATTTAAATAAAGTTCTTTCAACAATGAATTCCATTAATCCTTCTATTCAGTTCACTTTTGAACACGAGACTTGCAATTCTCTTCCGTTTCTCGACATTCTGGTCACACGTAACACATCCCACTTCAGTACTACGGTTTACCGTAAACCTTCATCGGTTTGCCTTCCACCACACTTCAAATCATGTCATCCGACTAAACAAAAGTTAACTTCATTTTATTCCTATGTTTCCGTGCTCTTCAAGATTGCTCCTCCAAACTATCCCTTGATGAAGAACTAAATTATTTAAAAGCAATATCTATTGACAGGGGCTTTTCACCCAACATTATTAATCAAGCAGTTAAAAAAATATCTTCTCAACACACCAAAAGGCACACTCTTGTTTTAGGAGATTAGAAAAAATATGTTGTCATTCCCTTCTTTTCATTAATTAGCTCACGTACTTTGCAGAAATTTAACTTTCGGGTCGTTTATTCTCCCATCATAATATTCCGAGTTTCCATACTCAAGGACCCCATTCCGGATATGAATTCCTGGGGTATTTACAGGATTACTTGCTAGTGTGATTTAATTTACATTGGCCAAACTAAAAGAGCCTTAAAATTTCGCGTTAAGGAACATGAGGCATATGTTAGAAAAACGGAAAACAGAAGTCTTCTGTTACCCAACATTGTTGGTCCGAAAATCACAAATTCAAATTTTCTGCTGCCAAATTTATTCAAAAAACATCTCCCATTGGTGAACTGGATTTTCTAGAGGCATTTGACATTCAAAAAAGCTTTCTGTTCGAGTTAAAGACCCTAATTGCAATCCATCTTTGCCTTCAGACTTTAAAGAAATTATATTTTAGTTCTGGTTTTATCAACAGATGGCGCCAGTCGCTTATCTCCTCTCCAGGCTTTCTTATCTTATCTAATCATTATATCTTATCTCGTTCATTTGCGCTTTGGCAGCTGAGCATGATGGTTCGGTAAAACCATCGAAACTAGTCCTTTGAAAATTTGAAAATATGACGCTGATTTTTGTTGTTTGACTTCTATATTAAGTTATACTTATTTGAAAATTACTCTGAGAGTTACTTTCGCTTCGATTTGTTTAAACTAATGTGTTAACTTAATTTTAGAATTTGGTTTAATATTTAATTTTAAGAACAGTAAATTTTTCTCAGCTTTTAACCCTTCTCTGTTCTGTTTGCTTGGCATCCTTCTGCGCCGTCTCAGAGTTTAGTCTTTCCACTCCTGTCAGCATGTTCACCTTTCTCCACGGCTGGTCCAATCCGGGCTGAGGTAACTGTTAGACGTACGCTGGAACACCCCTTGCTTATCCCAGGAAGATATCAATTCGACTTGAAATTGCTGACTAGACCTCCTTCTGCTGAACGTGGCACTGCACCTTTGCGAAGAAAAATTTTTGAAAACATCAAACACGATTTCTTCTTGAACTCTCGCTTCTAAAACAATGGTATATCCTATATATGGGTATATATAGGCATTAATGCTTTTCAAATGATCCACATTTGTTTATCTTTCCTTTATATTGTTATTAAGATGCATTCGTTCATTTTTTATTCTATGCTTGCGCGTGAGATTTGCATAATTCGTGAAATTTGTGCCTGAAAAAAGTATAATCTTCTGAGAGATGTTAATTATTTAATTAAACAATTATAATTTCCTTAATCTGATAAACGTACTCCCCACTAAACTGCGGACTTGCAGCACATTTCAAAACTAAATAATCCTTCAATATACAAGTAAAACGTATGAAATGAATGACATAATACACTTTAACTACAATTAACACAGTAAAAAAGGTACAGTTAAAGTACAGCAACAATTGCTTTGAAAATGAAAATTCTAAATAATACATAAATATAATTCCAAACCATATTCCATGTAACTAGCAAGACATTAAGCGAAAGGAAATGTTTAGAATTCTATTTATGAATTATTCTAACTTTGGAATTTCAAAACAGTTTTTGCTGTACTGTTTGTTTTCAATTACAGCATGTCATCAAGGAGAGAAAAATGATATGATTTAAGGTATATATCAGTTTAGATAGATAAATACGGATATATTTTAAAATGTTTCATACCAAGTGACTACGATTTCTCCTTTCCAAATGGCACCATAAATGTAAGCTGCAGTAAACATGGAAAAAATGGGTCAGTTTCTGAAAACGCTAACATGACAACAACAATTGTTTGAAAATGAAAATTACAAATAATACATAAATAGAATTCTACACAATATTCCATATAAATAGCAATACATTAAATAAAAAGAAATGTTTAGGATTCTATTTATGAATTATTCAGAATTTTGGTTTTTAAAACAATTGTTGCTGTAGTATTTGTTTTCAATTATGTCATAAAGGAAGGAACAATGATATGATTTCAACCATACATTAGTTTAGATAGATACTGATATATTTTAAAATTGTTCCTCAAGTGACTACCATTTTTCCTTTCCATTTTACAAGTCACGAAAGATTATATACTTTAATATTGTTCATTTATGGACTCACTGTGTCAAAATACTTCTTTTATTTTTTTATTTGGTGCATTATTGGCTGTTTAACGGAAACAGAACTGCAAAAATATGCAAATAATTTTCCTGTCATTTATTGTTTCAACATACAGGAGCAAAATAAACCTCTTAACTGCTATTCTCTTAGAGAACACTACTAGCGATATTGCACAAGAAACTCCGTACACGATATTGTGTTGATTTTTTTAAGAAATGTGATCAAATAATTATTAGCTGTGAGTAGAATGCCACTTGTCTCTAATTCAATCCAGAAGATCAGCGTGAAACGTGTGTTCACTTTGTTGAGACATTAAGTTACATTGACGCAGGAACAGGCAAAATGTGCAATGCCCTCGCTGTAATTCGACCCCCGTACCTCCTGAATACGCGTCGGAAGTGCTTCCAGTTAAACAACGAAGGCATGTGAGAAAGAAGAAATAACATGTGAGAAAATACCTGATATACTCCCCTTTTAAAAGGCGACTGGAGATGAGGGGACCCAGTAGCCAAATCCTGGTAGTGACGAATTGTCATCTATCACCTTTCTTAGTTGGGGTGCCACCGCATAATCTTTAGATTTTTTCGAAATTAGGAAACTGAAATAATCAGAAGTTTCCTTTATCGGAATTCGAACTTCAGTCGTCGAGTGTGCGTCCAGTTACACCATAAAGGCGTGTGGAAACAAAGAAGAAAATACTTTATAATGCAACCGAATTTTGTCTTACGCAGAATGATCTCACAGAGTAGATTTGGTACAAAGTAATGTTTCTTTCACATAGAATAATACTGTAAATAATATATACATATTTAATGGATGCAGAATACACTATGCATAATTCATGCAGGGAAAGTTCTTATTCCATTTTAAGCATCAGAGGATTATGTAACAAATATTAGACAGCAATATGTGGTTCATCTTCATAACAAAAACAAAGAATTTCAGATGCTCAATATGTTTAATGAAAATAACATCCATCAGTGCACTACAATTTATAATTACACTTTCAGAATTCTTCATTTGTAGAAACAGAAACTAGGGCCATGATATGGCAGAAATAACTGCTGTTGTTTTTGTTGCTTATGCTATCTTGCCAGCCCAAACCCACGAAATTCCTCGTGGCTAGAAGCACAAGTTTATACCTGTCTTGGCAACATCCTTGAGCACCTTACAGGTGACAGCATGATTTAGCTCAATTCAGCCCCCCATTTTGATGCAGAGCACCTCGAGGAGACGAGTCCGAGGTTCTGCCATGCCTCTTCTCCTACCACCAACCTCTCGAGAGGAATTTCGGCTCGCCTCATATTTAGAGTGCCACCTTGCTACGCGGGCATTATACATTTACAAACATCTATGTTTACTGTGGGACTCGAACCCCGACCCTTCGGTACGGCAGTCAGCGACGCGAACCACTATACCAGTTGGGCGGGGTGAAAAATAATATTATTGTTAAGCATCATCTAATGGCAAAAATAATAGGAATCGCTTACATTGTAATATATTTTAATAATCTTTTCAACCTATCAGGAAATTTTTAATGAAATAAAGGTATGAAGATAATTTTAACAATTAGTCATTTAAACAGTTATTCAGTTGCAGTTTTAACAACAGCGTTCTTATTGGGAAAAAGTACTTTCACATATTAGTACGAAGTCCTCAAGAAACATATTTGAGATTTTAATTTTCCTTTTACAGTTTTTCACTAAATAGTTCGTGTATTTATTGTAGAGCATTTTCTTAAACTCCTTAAAATGTTGTGCCAAAATAAAAATCTTGTTTTTTCACTGTGAAGTCAAAGAATATGACCACTCAGCAGGTAAAAATTGAAAAAAATCCATGAATCCGTAGGATTACAATAAAAGATGTGCACGAGGAATGAATCGCTAACGATGGAATTGCATTAAAAAGTGTCGAAATAAAAGCACAAAAATGCTAAGCAACGGTGAGAGTTCAACAGTAACAACGTTTTCTTTAATTAATTTAATTTATTAATTTCTTTAATTTCTTAATGAATAGTTGCGAAATATCTTCTGACACATTTCGGGAAATCAAGTCGATACATTTCTATATGCAATGTGAATATGAGCCATTTTCTCCCTGCCCGTCGTCCCATTTGACACACAGTTAGTTCTCATTTGCTGTGTCGTGTCGCATTCAGTTAGAAAAGTAAACAACTTGATGGAAGGGCTGCTACTGAAAATGAAATAACAAGTAATGTATAATATTATAAATCTAATCTGTTTAAATAGAGCGCCTAAATTTTAAAATAATAACATTAATTGAGAGAAAGTTTACTTTTTAAGAACATAAATGTTGTCTGACTGTACGTGAAATAAAGTAAAGTTTAGATTTATATTCCCAGTTTACAAATTAAGCAATCCCAAAGAACTCCTTTTGTTGAGGATAAAGTAATCGCTTCGTTCTTTGTTATTTATAGCGTTGCCTTTCATAAAGAATTTGTACTGAATGTATGAATAGTAAATTGTAACGCTACTTAACATGTAATAATACTAATACGGAACTTACTTTTGAACAGTACTTACTAGATAAATTTCAATAACACTTATATCCATCACGCACCTTAACAATAGTCAATAACTGTACTCTTTAGAATGTAAAGCATCTTTTGGCACCATACACTTGAGCTCATATTGAACACAGCTCTTCATTATCAGTACTTAAGCACTTAAACAGAACGTAACCCTTTATGATCACAAGAATAAATTCTTGCTATTATTTTATCATTGCAAAACCATTTATTTAAACTATCAGTCCAGTCAACGTTCCATACAGAGTCTTAAAACAATTAAGAGTTTAAACAATGCTTCTAAAACAAATTATTTACCCTGAAAAGAATTTCTCGGGAAGAAAGCTGATGAAATAAAAACTTCGTATTGTGGAAACGATCCATGGGAAAAAATATAGATACATATACGACTTTCTACACTGTCGATGATTTCTGTCTAAGTTAAAACGAAAACGTGGAATCATGCTTGGAAGAGCATTGTCATGAAACCACTGAATGCAGCGAAGTCCAGCTTCTCTTTACACATTGCCTCTAGCTAGTCCCAGCTGCTGCTGCTCTCAAAGGAAAAAGAGAAATGTAACTTTCCTTTTTCAGACTCAGCTTTCGGAACCCATTAAAGCCAGCACTACACAATGGGTGGAATGGATACTCCACGCTTCGATTGCTTTATCCTCTTAGAAATAACATTTCCCAGTAAAAACTAACCTTCGATCCTCGGAAACGTACTCAAGGGGCTTACCGTATCTTATTCGATAGTACAGGAACTTTCAGGTAGCAATGTTTGTAGAGCACTTATTTGAAAAGCACACGCCTCTTAATGATACTCCTAAATAGGCCTTTTTTGTTTCATCGGAGTTTCTGAATAATTTTATTGTTCTTACATTCACTTTCAAACAGGATAAATTTAGTTAACAAAATATCAGCAATTTAGCTTAATTTATTCCGCAATATTCAATTCAACTTATGTTTCGCATCATATAAGTAAAGGTTAAGGATCTGTAACCCTGAAACATTGAAATATGTAGAGAAGGCATTTTAAGAAGTAGGAAGAGAGAAACGACACTACTGTTTCAGAATATAGAGCCAAGATATGCTAAGTAGGAGAGACATAGAGTTTCTAAGTTTTTAGATATCTTTTGAGATACTGCCGTTCATTAAAATACTGTGTTTCTAATATTTTTTCAAGTATCACTACCTTAATAATAGCTACTACCCTATTCATATAATGTGTGTAATTTCTGTAAAGACGATGGGCCTGAGTTTGGAATATATAATTTTGAGATTTGTAAATAACATGTTAACAGTTTATCAATTGTTATGTAAAATCCCGTGCTGAAAATC